AAAAAAAAACGATATACCTTTTTTTTTCTTCTAACTTTTTTGCCGAGTGCATTTCTTTTTCGCTATTATTCATACGAATTATTATTTTCCTCGGAATCGACATTTATACGTGTGCGTCCGCCGGAAATTTAAGTCTGCCGGATCTGAGGATGACGGAGGATATTCGGCGACGGGAAAGTCCGTTGATGTACATCAACGGTTTGTCTCGTCGCGTCGGTTCGTTTCTCATGATCAGCGTGGACATACGCGGGCTCGCAACGTTGTTCTCTTATTTTCCCCGAGTGTCCCGCGGTAACCGGCAGCAACATTGTTTTTCTCTTGCTCTGCAGCCCTTCCCCTCTCACACTCCGCTTCCCCCGCTCTTTCGCCATCTATCTGACGACTGGCTTTTGGGATTCCTTTTTTAATACTCGGACACACCGAGGACCTTTTACCACGGACACGTAGGGGCCCTCTTGTAATGACCGCAACGCTCCAATGCACTCGGCGTCCGGAGCTGCATAACCGGATGCTGTTGCAGCGGACGCGTAGGATGCATCTTGCAGCGTATCCGTCTATCGTTTGCTGAACATGTCTCGTTGACATTTCATTCTTGGTATTGCAAGCATAAATTGGAGATACATTTTTCATTGTTGGAGAACATTGTTATCTTTACTTTTGTTAAAGATAACAAATAGGAAATAGATATATCAATATATACGTAAAACTCTGTGTAAAATTCTGATATTAAGATATAATGTTTGTATTAAAATGTAAATTGTATATTTTTAATTTTACAGTTTCTATTATTTCTCTACGTTTAAATTATAATTTATTTATTGCAATATTTGCTTAAGCAATCTTTGCGATATGCAATAGCGGTAATAGATGATCCTTTCTTTGACCGATATAAGTGAAAATTCGTAAGCGTTTGTCTCGATCCATTAGTTCGCTCTTCTCTCTCTTTCCCGGACATGGCCAATAATTCGTTGACAAGAGCGGTAATCTCTCCGGAGAGATCGAGAATCATCTAGTCAAATACTGACGGGAGGAGCGCTAAATCAGGGAAAACCTAGGGACACTCGTTTTGGGTCTTCGGGGTTGCCTGGAAGACAAATGTCAGCGGAACATGCGGGGAGCTTTGGCTCTCGGCCTCTCTTATGCGTGGAGATGCACGGTCTGCGGCGGTAAATCAAGGGTGGTGATATTAAAAGGCCGCTTATACGCGAAAACATAAGATTTATTTCTGTTGGAGAGGAATGCGCGCGGCGAGAAGGAGCGGGATAAAGGCGGTTCGTTTCGTCGAACGAGCGAATGTGCGAGGAGCGAAAGGAAGGCCAGACGAGAGAAAGACGGATTATATCGGAACGAATTTTTCTTGGCCCGTACACGTACATACGTACGCGAATAGAAAGACGAGAGTAGAATTCAGGGCAAGATAAAGCTACATAATACGCATCCATAAACGAATGACAACGTCTGTCATTGAGTGGCTCGGGCCGATATTGCAACGCGACAGACAAAGGAGAAAAAAAACGAAAAGAATGAAATAGAATATAAATATATAAATCGCATAAGATACAAAAATAAATATAAATTGCAAAAGAATGCATAATTTATACGTATAGTTTCTTTTTTCAATATTTTTTTAAGCATATTTTTTGTTATTTCAAGCACTGTATAGATAGTAAGATTGTATAATATTTGTTATAAGCGTATCATATGCACTGCAAAATGCATATCTTGTATTATTTTTTAATGGAATTATAATGCCGTCTTAAAGTAAAGAAAGAATCGCCTTGATATTTAATGAGTTGTATATTAATGAATCGTATCGAATCTCCTCAGTTTCATCTACATTTCAGCACGTTTTCTTCTTGCGTTATTATAATCCGCTTCTCGGATTGTGCCCGTGTAATGATTCATGTTCTTTTGCAAGGTCTGGCCCACTATCCGCGCGAGATTCGGTCGTCTCGGTTGATTAAGGCCATCCACAATGATGCTGTCACTAGATTCGTTCGTGCATAGAACAGGATATTATGCACCGGTATCGAACAATAAGTTGCCGACCACAATGACTCGGCTCGACTGTTTTTCCCTCCCCTCCCCGTCGTCGAACGATCTGTAACTCGTTCGTTCGGACCTTGCCGTCGCTGTACCAACGCCTTCGTTAATTCTTTCGCTACCGAAGTCGACTAACAATTCACCATGACTGTTCTCTGTATGTCAGGAGCAGCTATAATTGCTCAAGTATAACCGACATTCCTGGGCTCGCCAAACTCGCACGTTTTTATTTGTAGTTCTCCGTTCTTGTCTTTTTTTTTCTTTTGCACACACAAATGAAGATGTATGATTCAAGCGTCGAGAAGTAATATCGACCTTAATCCTTTATCGAAGATGCGATTTTTTAAATTTTCGTGCGCAGAGTTACAGTGTCCAGTGTACGTTGTATCCCTACGTCGTCCGAAGGCGGGAAAGTCCGCAACCGAATCCTGTTTTCCTCCTCCATCTCCGCGATCTCCGGGGAGCAATAATCGTTGCGGGGCGGAAAAATTTCGCGACAGAAGTTAAACAAAGCCTCGAAGCAGAAATAAAAAAGCGGGGACGTGGGCGAGAGAGCGCGGGAAGAGAGAGACGGAGAAACGGAGGGACATAGAAACCAAGGGGGGTTTCCCGGCTTCGACCGTAATAAGGGTGACCACCTCCCTCCGCGGCTCCGTTCGCTCCTGCCGCGCGGCGTTCCTCTGTTCTACTGTTTGAACAAGGCTCATAATTAATACGCGCATTCGCTTCTGGAAAACGCGCGCCCGGGGTGCGCGGGGTGCGCGGCGGGGAGAAGGGACATTTTTAAACTACGGCTTCGGATAGTCGCCTTTCCGCAAAGCGCGTCGATACATCGCGAGTCCTCTGAGGACCGCTCCGATGTATCTCTGATATTTTCCATCTCGTTTTAAGGTTTCCTTTTACGAAGCATCGCAAATCCGTATACGATATCGCTCTCTGCGTTCTCGACAAGTCAGTTGTTTGAATTTAGATTAACCCTGAGACACACGGAACCAAGGAATTTTTTGATATTTTATAGTTAAAAATATTTTTAATCTATATAATTTTAATCGTAAATACATATACTTTTCCTTTTCTTCAGACTACATTATTTGCAGTATCTGAATGTTTTCGAAGTCTTTCTTTAAGATTATTGATTTGATGTTCAAGATTGCATCCGTAGAGTAATAAAATCAGGTCGCGATTTTTTAAATCGAATTTGATTTTTATATCCCCAGATTTTTTCGCATCATAGCACGCGCAAATTAAAAAAAATTCCGTCTATTCCCGTGGTAGAGTCGCATGACAGCGTACCTGGCTCGCTTCGCGAGAGATATCCGTCTTTAAGAGCATTATCTGGATGGTCGTCGGCTAGGGGGATGGCAAAAACCATCCGCCCCCTTGTGGTATGTGAAAAATGATGCACAACCCCGTCCCCTAAACATCACCTCCGGAAAGTCCCGAAGGAAACGTTCGCCGTCGTCGTCGTTCTCGTTGTCGTCTTTCTGGTTCGTAATCCGTGAGATCGTGTCACGGACGGGCTCGCATTATCGAAAACATTTAACTCACTCGCGACTATACGTAGCGTACTAACAAAGACCATTTGGAATTTTTCGAGAGTTACTTGTCATCACCAAATAATAGAAGCACGTGCGTTTAACGAACTTTTTTTTCTATAATAATTTACTGCGCTACATAAAATATAATATCATAAAGAAACCTATGTATGTAAGGATAAGGATGTTTAACGATTATAAAAATAGAATATTATTTTGAAAAATTGTTAAATGACATAAATTTCGAAGCTTATGCATCATTTTATTCGAGACGCGCCTGAATTATTTGCTGCAAAGCGATGTTAACGATGTCATTTTTTATTTAATAGCTACCTAACGTTTTCGTGTATATTTCTTGATTTCAGATACGCGGAGATCTATTCGAGAACACCACCGACAAGTATCCAGAACGCCTCGCTTCTCTGCGAGGCGCATAAGGGATTCCTGCATGCGGCCAGTATTAATAACGAACTGTAAGTACCCGCTGTGTATATATATCTCCCAGAAAACACACTTGTTTGAAATACATGTTGCACGCCCCGTTACTCGCGCGCGGTGCCTGCGGAGGAGAATCGTATTTCGGGAGGGGAAATAAAGTCAATCGCTCGAGGGACGACACAGTGAGTGGCTGTCCGAGGTTTCGGGCATTTTTCCTTGGCGGGAATTTCTCGAAGGACACACTATATTATAAAGCGAAAGTGCGTGACCTCCTGGCACGCCTTTCTCTCCTTCTCCGTGTCTCCGCTCTCGTTCCTCGGCCCCCGTGACGTGATGGATACGCGAAAATGTCACTCGCACGCCCCCGGGGCCAACGCGCCATCCAACATCCCCCGACCATTATGCTAAACCATTGTCCACTATCTGCCTAAGATAGCCGGCGGCTTAAGTCGTCTGCTTTTCCACCGTCTCTCGGTGAGACCGTTAAAAAATCATTTTTGCCATCTTGTGCCCTCTCTCCTCTTCCTCTCGCAACGGCGATTCTCGTATCTGTCGGAAATACGGTTATTCACTGTTTTCTTTCGTGATTTATCGTATCGTTACATTTACACGTGTATTTCAAAGTGCGATTGATTTAGATATGATGCACAATGTGTAGAAAAATCAATAAAAGTGACAAAAAGTAGATTACTCCAAATTTTTCGTTACATATCTTTTGCAAGATGAATTTTTAGCAAATAAATTTATAAACGTAGTATTTCAGTTATCTTAATTGCTACTACTTTATTCTATATTTAATATATTTTTTAATACTTTTAGCAATGTCTAGCATTTTTTATGTATCAAGAATATAAGATTACGTTGACAGATTATTTAGGTTGAAGATGATATAGTAAAAAAGTGTGTGAGAAAGAGAGAGAGAGAGAAGAGAGGAGAGGGGAGAGGGGAGAGGGATTCGTGAAACGCTGCGTAGTCTGGCTAGTATATATTTTTTCTACTTCGATTTCTCCCCTCTTCTCGTCCTTTCATCGTCTCTCCTCGATGCATCCACCATTATTCGGGCGTTAGGCAAATACACAGGAGAGACGACAAGCTCGTCCGCGCGTTTTTGCCCCCGTGAAAATTCAAATGAGACCGCGCGGCATATTGCGCTGAATCGAAATTAATGTCGCGCAACTAATTATCGGTCGAGTCATCATCGTTTCGTACCGTTCGGGCTTCTCTTTCGCTTTCGTATTGCGAGTCGCGTTGCTGTATAATCGTCCATCGTTCTACCGAGGGACAAACGATCGCGCCAATTATCGTTTATATCGCGCGGCCGTCTTAATCGCGCTTGATTGATCGATCATTGATATACGCGTCTCGCGTTGTATATTTTTTAATTCGAATATCTTTTATCAATCACTGAGATGTAAATTGCGAAGAGCGAATAAGTCGCCAAAGTGCTTACTTATATTTGTTGTTATTTATGCTTAATTAATATTTATGATTATATAAATTTTATCCGCTCAATTTTAATAACTTGCGATTGTACACATCCCGGCATAATCTCGGCCCTACTTCGGAGGATAGACAGTTTCAAAATTACGGATATTAATAGCGCAGCAGTTCGCGAAATATTATTGATTGCGTACTAACGCGAGATTCTCTCGCGATACGAGGTTCAGGAACCATGCCAGGATCGAGCGAACAATTGCAAGGGCAAAAAGCTGGAGCCGTGGCACAGCAAGAAATTTCTAATTTGCGGTATAATTAAGGGAGACGATGCAAAAAGCATTACGGATTCTACGGCGTTGTCGGAAAATCGCAAATTCCATCTTGCAAATACGGCTCTCGTCCAATCGTGTGTTCTCTCTCTCTCTCTCATTCAGTGTGTTTCTATGGATACTTTATTATCAATATCGAAAATTTCGATGTAAGTTTCCTTCTTGATTAGATTGCAACGGAATGTTATTTTAATTGTTACAGATACAGTATAGTGACCGCGGAGGAATGGTCGAAGCTGATGCAGTTTTACGAGGCCGATTATCCCATTATGATAAAGAAAATTGGCGACGACTATCACACGATTCCGAGTGAGTACAAATCCTTTTGTAGTACAAGAGATAAAAGATTGCAATGTTCATTGGATTATTTGCGATATGTAATTCATAAGCATTTCAACTGCGATACTTTTAAATATCACGATAGGTATACCGTTGATTTACTTTATGATACTTTATTGTTGAACGACTCCTGCGACGCACGTGCGTGAAATACTCGCCGATAATAACTATGATATAAAAGTTGCGCTCTGTCCGGCTCGCGCGTTTAGCGATATATCTTAAACAGATAGACGGAGAACGTACGTGTGTCGCTACCACGAGCTTCCTACTCCGCCTCTTTCCCAACCTAACCCAAGGAATAATGCCAGAAGACATTAGCCGCCGATTTACATAAACCTCCCTCCCCCCTCCCCCCTCCCTCCTTCCGTTCCCCATCTTCTCAGTTGGCTTCTCCTCCAGGCCCCAAAGTGTCTCATTATAATTAAGAAGTATCCTGAAAATTAACTGGCAGAAAAAGCAGCACCACGCCGGGGATACGGCGGGTGAGACGGCCGCAAATGGCCCTCTCAAAAGTTTCTGCCCCCCCCCCTCCCCGCCTTCCGTTTCACGCGACGTGCCGTCCTCGGGGGTGTTTACTCATTCGACGTCTTTGTTTCGTCGAACGTACAATTATCTACAATCTGTTTTTGTTTTTGTTTTTTTTACATAAATTCTACGAATTTGATAAATTCTAAGTACCTTACAATCTGTCGAAAATACAGTTGCTCGTGGAAACTCGGGACGGGTGGTCGGGATGAAGAATGGAGCGCGTGCGTGCGTACGTTCTGTGGGAGCGATCGAGATTCATTCAAGTTCTTCGGGCACGTGTCGCGGCGCTTCCTCGGACGAGCGATCTTTGTCGGCCGTCTGGCAGGCAAATTGGGTTCCGACGGTAACACCCGGGGGACCGGTGATGCGAGAAGAGGTACGACGCTCACGTCCTGCCTCGTGCTGGCCGCCGTGGCCGTTTATCGTGTGCGCGAAGGATCTCTAAACATCCCATTGTCTTGTCCGTCTTTCGGCCGCGAGTGCGCCACCTTTTTTTTCCGGGGCATTTGTCAAGGCGCTCCTCCGATTCCTTCAGTACGACGGAAAGCTACGCGACCGTCGCCACCGCCGCCGCCACTGCCGCCGTTGTTGCCGCCGACGACAACATCTGAATTGCAAAGACCTCGTTGACGGCGAATCGAATGGCCGGTATCACGATCGAGATACCGACAAGTCCGTCGCTCAAATGGAGACGTTTAGAGCTAAACGACGATTTTCGTGGGCAAATGTCGAGCTAACATTTCAGATGTTTTCGTTGCGCATTTAACGCTAATCGTGGCCATCTAATTGCAAATAGTGTTTTGCACATCAGTATATTAGAGAAAAATTGAATGTTTGAAAATTCTGAAAAATACATTTCTTACATTATACTTATTACATTTCCGATTTCGCAAACGTGTTTAATGTTTTCGAATTATCTTCCCGATGATATTCAAGAACGTGAAACGAAAGGAGAAATTACGGACAAACGGGCGATCTAGCTTATTTTGAGGACGCGCTTTGCGGACAGGAAAGGCTTCGGGGTGGGCGCGAAAGGGAGAGGGACGGATTGCCAAGCGCAAAAAATGGGGGGTTGCTTTTGGTGACTGATACGGCCCTGACTAACGAGTCCTAGCTGGTCGTGCTACTCTTAAAGCCTCCAAGGATCCCCTTTTCCCGCTCTCTTTCTTCCCCTTCTGTCCACTGTCTCCCTCGATCGTGGAGGCACATTAGGCACCGTCCAACCTCGTATCAATCACCCGGCTACCCCCGACACCCCCGTCGCAGGGCGTCCTCTCGCCAGTTGACAGAACCGGAGGTGACGCGATTGAATACCACCCTCTGCGCCTCGTTGCTCCTCCGATCAGCTCGATGACGACGGCGATGCTGGAAAACCTAAGCGGAGGGAAAGAAACGTTTGCCTCGTTTGTTAATGCCTCGGCAAGGCAAAGGGCCGATCCACGTCTTAATGTGAGACATCTTACTCGCTGGTTAGATCTCGAAAATTCTACCTAATCAAAGCCGATGATCTGTAAGACCATTTAAACGAGCTAAATGATAATGTATTAATTAAATGTATGATAGAATTAATTCTATGATTTGTAAGATTCTTATACTAATTGTAAATCTAAAGCGAATATTATGAATTATGGATCTCTATTCTTGCTTTGAAAGTTTCAGTTGAAAGTCGAAACTGTCATGTCGCGTATTTTTTTTTAATGTAATCTGTAAAATAGATTTTTTTACAGCAATATATACTATTATATATATATATATATATTATATATATACTCTTCATTTATTTAAAAAATACAAGATTTCTTCTCAAATTGTACATCGACAATTATGTAAATCGTGTCTCGCTTGATTATCTTCCGGGAAGTGGCTTTATACGCCAGATTGAAGTTGATTCTAGAAACGCGAGCGCGGCGTGTTGCTGCCCGCTGTTTCGTTTCTCCGAAACGTCGCTCGTAAATATCGCTTAGGCGCCAGGCGGTACCACAAATCAGGCGTGTCCGTGGTGTAGGTACGGCACTGGTTGTATCGCAAAACCAATGACGAACGAGTGAGCGAGACCAAGAAAACCGTGCACGCAGGGCAGACAGACGGGGGCAGAAACCGGCGCGCGGCGCGGCGCTGCGGCGGCGTCGTCGGCGGTAGGAGAGACCGGCCTCGAATTAATATTCGGACGGCGATTTAGATTTAGAACACGAATTTGCTGATTAGTTCCCTCCCCGGGAATGCGGTCGCCTACGTTGCAGCGGACCGTCCGTCCTTCCATAAACGTGCGGCTAGGGCGGGGGCTGGGACGGACCTGGAGATTCGAGATTTAGTTTCCTGAGGGGGTTGAACTTACGAAGGGGTCAAACGATTCAGGAGAGACATTTGTTAGCCCCCTGTCCCCACCCTGCGACAAGTGCGCCGGACACGTCTTAATATATACATCCGCTGGCCAACGAACATGCCCTTATGAGCCGCGCTGTCGTGCGGTCAAAGTCGCTGCACCGTAATGGATACTGACTTCCACCCGGAACTTTTTCGCTCGAAAACTTACAGCCCCGAGGCATGCGCCGCCGTGCCGTCAGAACGGCAGGTGCCGTTTGATTAAGAGTTTATTTCGATGGACCGCACTTCCTCAATCACGCTTTCACTGAACGGAAACAGGGAAAATAATAGTAATCAACGACGTGTTAATATCAATATCGAATTTTTTCAACTACTTTTCTTATTAAAAGAGGAAACAATTCCACACTTGACTTTAAACGTTTTGGTTTAACTAACGTATTTAATTGTTTGCTTGTACTATATATATATATATATTTTTTTTTTTTTTCATTTGTATTATTTCGAGTGAAGATCAGCAAAAGACTCATTTTTGGTCAACGCGACGATTGCGTTAGAGTCTTTCTTTTTTTTACGACGGTTAATGTACGAGATAAGAAAAGGGAGGTTTAGCGAAAACATTAGCGTGCAGGAAAATAGGGGCGCTAACATTCAAGCGTTTAATCGAAATAAGATTATTGATACTACGGATCGCTATTGAGCGATTTGAATCCCTTTGGAATTTTTATACAACTAAATTATACTTACGTATCCATTTACATAATTATAATTGATTCCAAAATGTCAAATAAAAGAATAAAATTTCGCAATGGAAATATAAATATATTGATCTTGAATTATTCGAAGCAAAGCTAGAGAAGAGCGCACGAGTCGCTCCAGAAAACTCTTCGATCAAAATCGAAAGCGCGTTAAGCGAAAAGACATCGGGTTCGCTATTATATTAAAAGGGCTGAACGACTTTCATTCATAACTCCCAAGTCACCCCGTGAATGAAAGATTGATGTTCCCCCGACCGTCGTGACTCGACGACGAGAACCGTTCACCCTTCCCGAAATATGTTTCGAATTCTTCGGAGTTTCCGGGAGAGAGAAAAGAACTGTTCACCCCAGTAAGTAAATAATGACTTTGTGCTTTGTCAATTGTATTATTAAATAAATTGAATTTAACGGCAACGAGCAGTGAAGATTGCTGGTAAAATATGCTTGATAAAATAATGCTAATAAGCTAGTTGTAGATGTAGTACAATTATACAGTATAATTAAACGTTATAGTCGTCACACAAAAATGACAAGAAGTATATATTGTAGAATACAATCTTCTGAGCCTTAGCCGAGTGTTAATTTTTTTAAAATCAATTCGTCCGTCAAGGAGCGCCCGTAATTGGCAACTAAAATCAACGAATCTCTCAAACGTGACTCGGTGCAGGTGCCTCCAACGCGCAGCCTCGATGTCGCCGTAGCCGTGGAAGATCGACGCGGTAATAATGATTTCGCTAACGAACGTCTTCGAGAGAGCCACAACAAAGTCGAGATCTAATCCTCTTACGGGATGACACCGAGCCGGCAGCAGCGAGGGCACTACTCGACGGCATTACGTGCGTCTCTCCCGAAATCCGCAAAATGCGATTGTCACCCTGCGGCGCGGAGATCGAGAGAGACGCTACGACGTTTGCAAATGAAGTGCTCCGCGATGATCAACGAATTCGTTAATTAAACGCGAGATGTTTCTCTACTTTGCAAATCGCTGAATTCGGAGCGACGAATACAATGAGCTGTATCAGCCGCAACTAACGAGCTCCGATTCTCCTCGATGCGTACGTTTAGAACTCGGTTCTCGAATTACTCGCAAAAGAATGCAAAGATAATAATTTTCAGCTGGATAATTTATCGAGCAGCAACAAATTAGCAGCGTTAATATTTTACTGCACTAAGTCATTTCGTTTATCTCTTTTATACGTACAATGAAATAAACGACTGGAATACACACGAGCGTTACATTTGAAAACTTTCTGCGATGCGAGGGGACAAACTTGAACGGCAGACAAACGCGGCGGTTTAAATCAAGCGATATAGACGATTAGACACCTCCAGATTATCGAGGGTCTCCTTCTGACGGGATCGGAAGATGCGTCCTAGCGCCGTTGGAAAGAGGGGATCTGAGAGCGAGCCTTATCCTTGTTTTATCTTGTTTTCCACCTAACCTCCCCCCGCCCTCCGTTCTCCACCCTCGCATCATGCTCCGCACACTCCACCGCTGCCGGAGGACGAGCATCGGTCATCTAGGCGCTCCATTTAATCCTGGAGGAAAAGGACCCCCCGTAGTTTCACGGACAAGTGGGGATCTCCTTCGGGATAACAGACGCAGCGAGGGAGAGCGTTCCAAGAGAGAGAGACCCAGCAGCAGGATGCGCTAATTCGTCCCTGCGAAATTTGTCCTGCCCGACTTTGCTCGTTTCCTGCGCGATTACGTGAAAACGCTGCTTTTGTTTTTAATAATTCAAGATCGATATATTTATATATAAATTTATTTCCATTGCAAAATTTTATTCTTTTATTCGATTTTAGGAATCAATTATAATGGATACGCAAGTTTTTTTTTTTTTAATGGATACATAAGTAATTTAAATTAAATTAGAAACATAAGTAATTTAGTTGTACAAAAGTTCCGAAGGGATTCAAATCCCTCGATAGCGATCCGTCGTATCAATAATCTTATTTCGATTAAACGCCCGAATGTTGGCGCCCCTATTTTGTTTCACGATTCTTCTCCGTCTGTTCGCTAACTGTTCGCACTAAATGGTCTCGTTCTACCGATTCGCCTACTTATTTCAATGTATCTGTGTATCACAGTGTAATTACTTTCCTTGATCGATGATCATCAATCCGAAGTGTGATTAGCACGTTGATTAGTAGGTGGACACTTTTGTTCGACTCGTCAGTGTCGAAGAAAAGACTTCTCTAGACATCTTAATTAAATGCGTCTGATTGGATAACATCTCTCCCTAGCTATTTATGCGATATATTATTTTGATTATCATTTTATTAGTCAAAGTTATTTTTTAATTCTCACTTTATATACAAAATTTTAATTATCGAACTTTATAAAAAGAAAAATTAAAATTTAAGATATCTCTTAGATCTACTCAAATTTTTTATTCGCGATTATTACAGAGAGATAATATTTTGTTTAAAATTATATTTGAGATGACATTGATGTTAAGGCCCTTGTTCGCAATGTTTGATAGTTTACGTACAACGACGAAAGTTACATTTATCGTTCACGTACATTTCGGGGATTGCGCCGCAATTTGACGGTTGTATCTATCGTTTGCCAAAAGTTTTACATCGCGGTCCCAAGAGTTCTTGGCGCGGGCCGTTTAATCGGGTCTAAATAAAATCCGAAGGCATCTGACTCTTCGTCGGAACTCCCGAAACTTCTTCCGTCGATATCGCGCAAGTTTCTACTCCGTTTCGTTTATGGTTTGATTGCTCTTCGATGGCACTTTAGGGAAATACACTAGATCTCTTCTGCATCGCCCTTTAGCCTTACACTAACCATCAGACTTTTGTGTATTATTTGCCAATAAAAGCATCCCTCTGCCGATTTTGCTCGTGTCTTAAAATACTCGCACGAGAGCCCGTTTCGTATCTCTATGTAGTCATCTCTACTTTTATGATGAAAAGCCGAATTCATGTGAACGAAATGTAATTGTCGTACCTTCGGTTTCGCAAAGAGATTGCCCGTTCTCGGTCGGCTGGAAAAGTGCGGGCCGGCATTCTCAATAGGTATTGGCTACTGTTTGTAGTACGTTGGAAGAGATTTGCATTCGCGACCCTACGAATCTCTCATTAGCTTAAGCTTCTCGTATTTCCGATTAAACCCGATAGCAAACGATCCTATCGCACGGATATCCCCGCGCGCCGGCGACGGGTAATTAGGAATTCGACGGAAGGACCTTCGAATTCATTTGGCGTGCGGGTCCTTCCGTCCTATCCTTCGTTACCGTTGCGGGAAATTAGTTCGCTGCTGCATGAACGGTTTTCGTCGTTTTCAATCCGTCCCTCCCGCTCTCGCGACGACAGGGCAACAATCAACATTTATTCTTCTCGTTTGCGAAATCTTCGCCGCGAGAGAAAGTATATCGAACGAGACGGCCCGCGTTAATCTCCTTGACTCGTTAATGGGCAAACAGCTTCTTACAGCGTTCCCTTATTGGCTCCTACGAGCCGGTAATTAGCGGTAACGCGGGGGTGGACGCGAATTCGCATTCAGCCGGGGTCACGATTCCTCTCCCCTCGCGTTTCCCACCGCCGGAAAACTGTCTGAACATGACGTAACGCTCCGAGAGTAACGCTCGGATACGAGCTTCGGCTCCGGACCGGCCGAAGCGCTTTTTGTGCTGTCCGGCCAGCAACAATGGCCGCTTCTTACACCACCCTGGTCACCGTATATTATTAATTACTGTATTAATCTCACCGGCCGTAAGCAATCTATTATACATGGGATAAGAGCCACCACCGACATCGCCACCCACCCCGCCCGACGCGCACCCTCTAACTTGACTTTCTAACTGCCGTCCCGGTCCTCTCTCAACGAGGGCTCGACGAGGCCAACGAAATCTGACCCCTGCATTTGGGGTGTTAATAGCGTCGTGCCAAACCGCGTCATGTTCCTGTATTGCGTTGCGAATCTTGCATTGAAGGTCTTGCATTGGTGCATTGCGACATTTTTAAGACAACGCATAGTTCCTTTCAAAAGGGATGCTCCACTTTGCGTATTGAATTATATTTTGCGCTTTCCTCTATTCGTATGTTATTGTATTTTTACGATGGAAAGTATCTAGAAAACATTATCTGACACGTTAAAGAAATAATAAATATTTCCAAGTCTAACGTTGATCTTAACTTGAATCGAGCGTCACGAAATTGTCTCCTATTGTTTCAGCCCCGTGCGCAGCCTGCATGTTAGCGAAGGTTGAACAGGAACGCTTGGAAAGCTTAAAGTACGACAGAGCGACAATCTACATCAAATGTATTGATGAAAACGAGGAGATTAAGACGGACAATGATTATAAGGTAACGCGCAAAAATATCTTCAATTAATTATTCTTTCAATAAATTGTTAATGAAGATTGACATAAAAAGATCATACAATTAAGAAAACAATTTAAAAATTCAGCATATATTACTGGATAATCGTCACTTTGGCATCAATTATTTACAATTGCGGCCAATTTTTTCTGAGATAATATGATTTGTATCACGATCCGTTATCATTGCGATAAAACGATAATGTCCCTTTTTCTTTAAATGCAATATATTTAGTAAAAATTGAAAATCTTATATTGTGTATATGCATGAACGAGTTATATTGGCTCGTTCGGACGTGGAAAGAATTTTGTTAATGGGCCGACGTGCCGAGTCATCGAGTGTCCTGGAAGCGGTCGTCTTTCCAGATTAATTCTAACCGATAACGGCGAGTTGATGCCATCTCACGCATTTCACGATGTAATAAGTATTATTACGTCTCTGCTCACAAAGTGACCTTAAAAGTTTTCTGCTTCCTTTTACATGGCTCGCTTTTGATTCACGTTGATTTAGAAGATTAATTGTGGTGAACCGCGCTATGTGACTAACTAAACTACTTTCTTTTTTTAATCAATTTTTTTTACATGCGAAAATATCTGACGGATAAAAAAGTATGATAAACATTTGATATTATTTTCGCGATTACTTTTTATGTTATGAAAAAGTGCATTTTATATTGGATGTCATCGCGTTTATATACATTTTTATAACATTTATGTTAAAGAAGACATATGTATTAAAATAGGGAGAGCATCGAAGAAGCTTTACAAAAGATTTTATTTCTACAAATATTTTTTTATAAAGAAAATTATTTTATTAAACGCACCTTTTTAATTATTGGATATTTCGAATGTTTGTTATAGGTAGCGACAAAAAAGCCGAAGATAGAAAAGGCACGTCCATCACGAAGTAGGAGAAAATTAAAAGGATCGCACGAGCTCAAAGTGTCTTCTGAGATTACTTTAAAAGATCTCAAAGTAATGGTAAGTGTTTTGTTAATATATTTAGCTATAAACAAATGGCCGGTTTCAATCTTTTAACCTCACAGGATAAAATATCTCGAAAAATGAGTGTTTTGATTACGGCCGTGCATTTCAAATTTCGGATTTTCAGACCTCTTTCGTTCTATAGAATTACATCCGATATAAATTTAGAAGAATCTAAAAATTATGAAAAGAAAAATTATTAGGAGCAGCGATGACAATCGTTCACGGGGTAGTCTCGTGAAAAAAATCGGAAAAAGTCCATTTGATATCTTGATCTGTTTGCGCTCGTCACCTGCCGATAGCGCGGCTCAGGGATAATCAATCAATTTGCGGCGCAAGTATTTTATGGCGCGGTCTTATTGTTCGAACCGAAATGGGAAGAGCCGCGTTTGCCCGAAGCCGGCCGCTACCCCTCGGCCTGGCTATCTCCGGTCCGGTTGTCCGTTCCCCGGTTCTCCGTGGTGGACGGACGAAAGAGTAGTAAAGCGTAGTTATGGCTGGTTAGCATATGCTCGGGCTCCGGCAGTGTGCTTAAACTATTAAGCGTATTTATATTGCGAGGCCGTAGCCATCTCCTCCTCTTCCTCCCCCTTCTTTCCGGCGGAGCCACTGGCAAAAACCCGAAAGAGCATAAACCTCGCGCTAATAACAGGTCTCCAACTTCTCCACTCCACTTCACTCCACTTCGCTCCACTCAACCTTCCATTTGACTCTTTCTCCCGGCACGGTCTCTCTTCATCTCGCGCGTATCGTCTCTCTCTCCGTCTCACGCGCGCGATACTCCTCTCTATCTATTCACCGAGCTCTCCTTCGAGCTCGAATTTTTGTTCGTGCCTCTTTCACCCCGTGGAACACACGTCCCCGTTTTTAATACCCGCCCGCGAGAGAGGCTGTCGGCGTCAATGGAAATACGAGACCCCTCGTCTCCCCTTCTCATTCACGGTCGCTTCTTTTTTTTTTATGGCTCTGTGTCTTTCGACTTGATTTCGTCTCTCGCTTAACGAAAGTCAACAATCAGTGTGAATCATTCGATCGGCCGAAATCGTGCTTCAGCTACTGTAACTCGTAAGAGTTAAATCTTATCGGGTAATGTTAGAGAGAAAAAAAATGATACACTTTGAAAGCGCGCAAAGAACGTTTTTGCTTCATTGGAAAATCTCGCGGCGTCACGATTCAAGGGTGTCACTGTTCGCGGATTGGTTCTCGCGTTTGACAAAAATCCAGGCGAGTCACGCCGCGCGCTCGTTGCCTTTTTTACCGTTGCGCAAAAAGGCCGGCCAATAAAAATGTTTGAGTTTCATGGTCGAATGCAGTTATGTCGCGGAGAGCTAGCGGGGCAAGCAAATCGGGACAATAGCGGCCGCCGCTGATCTTCGCCGGGGCGCGCGGGGCAGCTGGGCTTTACGTAATCGCGGTGTAACGCCTATGAAGCCGCCTGCAAATATTACTTTCCAGCACATTCCGTGTCACCAGTCCCATTTTTTCCCCCCGCGCCGCTCAGTACCGCTCGATCGTATCGCCTTTCTTACTCTCATTGCGCCGCGGCACGGACGCAATGGCATCGGGACGAAAAAACGTTCGTCCACGCGGATAGCTCGTTCACAGGAAAATTACGGCCGACAAAAACGCGGCCGAACTGCCGCGCCGGATTTTTCACGGATAGATTGGAAAGCAAATCGTAGAAGTCGTTGAAAAGAGAAAGAGAGAGAGAGAGAGAGATCATTTGCGCGCGGTCCTAGAAAACTCGCGTTATCAATTGCAGACGTCGAGATTGCATCCCGCGGATGAGTAATCCGTCGCGGGGTTCCGGCTCCCGATGAGCGACGCAGCGCGACGCGGCTGTCAGGATCCGTAAATATCAAAAGTTCCTCAACCCCGGGGGCAATTTGGCCTCCTGCCGCCGCTTCGCAACCTTGTTAAACCCACCTCTATTTATCGCGCTCGTTGGGCGCCTTCCTTTAACGAGGAAGCCTCGAGGTTCTTTGACCCTGACCACCTCTTCTTGTTCTCCTCCCGTTCCCGTCGTTCTCCTCTCCTGTCGTATGAAGTCCGGCAGACGTTTACGACATACGGGGATTGTTCTGACGTAACGTGCACCGTCGATCTCGGGCAAGATATCTAGCGACAATAAAATCCGCGACGAGCTATATGCCCTCCGCCATTTTAACGGGGAATAATTTGACGAAAAGTGATTGTTGCCCACGCCCAAGTACAACGGCAGCGCGCAATCGTGCGTGTGCTCATAATCGTCTTTTTGTATACGACGTCCGCCCCTCAGTCTGCTTTCCGGCGCCCTCGCGCGCGCGATGCGCCTCTCCCCCCTCGTTCCTTCTCCCGGAGCTCTCCTTCGCTCGGCTCGGTTCAGTTCGACTCTCGGCGATCGTAAAACAGAAACCGAGCTACACGTTCTCGCACCGACACCGAGGACAAGCCAGCGGCGCAAGCTATCCCTCCACGCAACATTACGCGGGTTCCACAAATTAAGCAATTACCGGGGCTCACGCTCGCTCTCTCGTCTCTCGCGCACTCTTCCACTTCTAGAATCTCAAATAGCTCCCCCTCGCCCCCTCCCTTCGTTTTTCCGCACGGCCGCAAACTTCGCTCTACAAATACCTTCGCGCGTTCGTGTATTGAAATATATTTCAGATGTCTTCGGGCGTAGCCAATCCTGACGGGTAAACAAAAGCATACGTGTTATTAGTTTCTTGACGGAAGTCTATTTTTCTGAAGAGATAATTATCACGATCGATCGAGCGATGTATAATGTATGTACGCTCAAGGCAGAAATCGAGAAACCGATGACTCGTGTTCTTTTGTTAAATTATAACTCTGTTTAATTGCATCGTATAAATAAGATGGAAAAATTCTGCTTCCTTTTAGACGATGCAGATTTGTGGGGCTGGACCGTACGATCAACATATAATGTTAGGCGAACACGAACTCATCGACGATAATCTGAGCTTGGCGGCACTCGGAATATTTCCTGGAGCTCTACTTACGTTAAAGGTAAGTTTTGTTTAAGTATTTTTCATGTCGTATTTTTCTCTTTTCCTTTACTTATCTTCCTTCATATCTATTAAAAGTTAAACAAAGATTAAATTGAGAGAAATGAGAATTAATGATGTATGACGAAACGATTGCCACTGAAAGAAATTAAGTTTTCGAAAATTTGACCGCGATAGAAGTCGTTTTTTGCAAAATTATCTATGCAATTATAAGAATTCAGGGACATAGCACGCGCGAATGTCCTTCTTAGGATCAGTCGAGCGTGCACTTTTGTGAAGTTTACATTATTATAAATCTGCTTTCACACGCAATGGCATGCATTGATGCGTGTAGATCTCTTCGTTATATGGAAGCCCTTACGATCCTACTTTATCGTTTAATGTTTTACGATTCATCCGGCGCGGCGCCTCGACGGCCTCCGTAACGACGTCTTGATTGTCGTTACAACGATACGTTTGTTCCGCCTGACTAGCGGACAGTGACAAACAGATGCAATTTAGATTTAAGATCTAGCCACTGTTTCCCTTAAGTTCGAGACAATGGATAAGTAACCGGGACTGGCAATGGCCTCCCAGATAACGACGCTAAGACCGGCGTTTTCGCGCCGGGATTAACCGAAAATGCCTTATTTGAGATTAGAAGTGTAGCCCTCCTAGCCTTGGGAGAGCGAAGTCGTTAGAAATTGCGGCTTATTCGAGGAGGAGCTTATATATACTCTGGCAAATCGGTCGCTACTATAGTTTTACCTGGGTGTCAGTGCAAATAAATTTGAAATTAAAAATTTTATATTTGCATTTTTTGCCGATAAATTGCAAGAAAATAATTGCAAATTTGGCTTCTACAATTTATGGAACGTCTGCTAATTATCTGCTAGCAGTTGTTAACTTTGCAACTTTATCGTTAGTCAGCGCCGGGTACCCGACTTGATTTATACGTGAGAAACGCGCGACAATGATATCGCGTTCATACGTTTATCCGTGCCACGTTGTTTTCGCACTCCTCGTGCGGAACGCTGTCCAACCCTCGCGGGTTTTTGCCGAGAGCAGCCGTCTGCGGAACGGCGTCGCCGGAGAAAAATTCTCGGTGCTCTCTCGTTCGGCGGAATAATTCCAGGATTCCAACACATTCCTCGGTTCACAGTCGACTGACTTTATGAAAGCAACCGGTGAGCTAAGCACAGCACCAGCGACAGTCTCAAAACCGTTAACTCGAGTCGCGCTATCCTACGTTCGGGAAGAACAAAGAGGGCAGGGGGGAAAGGGAGAGAGAGAGAGGAAGAGAAGGAGACGCGGCCGGCCTCCTCGCTGGACTGGTTCACCGGTTGCGGTTGCACTAGCTGCGAATTCTAATTGCTATCTTGCCTCGGAGAATCCAGTTTAGTCAACCTGCCGACGTTTCTACCGATTGAAACGCTCCGATAGGTTTTGCGGTTTTCAGAAAAATTTCTTCCCGCATCCCATCCCGCACTGATTACCGTCGACGTGACAAAGTTTTACGACAAACGGCTTATCATACCCCCCCCCCCTTTTTTTTCCTTCGAACATTACAAATCCCCTATCGAATCGGTCATAGTAAAAATGTTTGACTTTCGCTCTACGTTTTGTTCTCACACGGATCCCGCGGTCGGGGTGTGTAATTGCTCCGGAATTCTATACGTATGAAACGGCAAGGAACTGTCGATTCTCGTGGTCGGAATATAACGACGGTGATAAATCCCGAGGCACGTCTAGCTGCTTTTAACTATCGTTAACCATAACGTGACTGAAAAGTACATAACGGGCGGGTAATTATTTGCGGTTATGCGAGTAACCGTGGGCCCGACTCCCGATGTGCAAGAAGCTCCCTGGAGAACGAGATTGTTTCGCGAAATCTTCCGTCGTAAAATCCGCTCGTTCACCGGACGACGAACTTAATGCGACTCAAAAGCATAATGTATAATCGCATAAACCCGGAGTTAGGTTGTTCCGATCGGCTGTTCCCGTACTTTAAACCACATCGCTTAGGAGGGACGTGCCTTTTCTCGTTGGGCAATCGCTACACGTTTTGTTTATTCTGAAATTCCTGTAATTGTTCAAGTCACTTAATTTTGGGATATATGTAAAATACATGTAAAACCCCAGGAAATTTTAATTTCTTATTTGATCTAAATTTTTTTTTCTAGTGAAGCAAAAATACAATTAATTCGAAGCGGAGGTGAGATTAAACTCTTCCGCTCCTCTTAGACCTGCCTCGTGATATCAGACGATATATCGGAATTGTCAGGATACTCTATCCGCGGCGGATAGACCGGATTAAAGCGTTTCAGGCAAGGTTAGTCCTTGATTTTGCTACCGGTCCAGGCACCGTGGCACGCACAATGATCAGGATGACTTGCGGCGTAGATCGGTGATCGAGTGTCTCGCGGAGATATCAGCTACCGCTCCGTCATCGTCCGTGCAATAATTCAAGGTCGTCGGAGTACAAAGTTAATATATCTTGCCACGTATCTACATTATATCACTATGTTTTTTTTTTTTTTTTTTCCGGCCGATCCGGTCGACCGAAGGAGATCAACGACATTACGTCTTGCGCGAGGTCGATCGTCTTTCTCTTTTCTTTTATGTCACTTTCGCTCTCCCTACCGTTCCCTTTTCCACCATCCGGTTTGTTTGCGCGCTTTTATGAGCACGTTACACGTCATGATTAATCGATCTTTCTTCGTCGCAAATGGATCTCTCTTCCAAGTAATCATTGTATTCGGTTTTGGTTGCGCCGCGAGTGTTGCAGCTTTCGAGAAGCTCGACTGTAAATTGCGACTCGGACTGAACGAGTTCGAAATTCTTGACGCAGCTTGACGAGGCGGGCTGTATTTTTGTCCGATCCGCAATTCTCGCGCGTACCCTTTAAACAAAAAGTGAACCGTAGTCGCAGTCGCGAGAGAAGCCGCGTTAGAGATAAAGATATTAAGCAACGGCATGCGCCGGGCTGTAATTAACGCGCGACGAGATATTAATGAAGACACGTACATACATACATATACATACATTCGTTTTCGCTTTGATGAAATAAACGTCGTAATCGAGGACAAGGACGATAAAAGGCGATAAAGAATAGCAACAAAGTTGTGCACAATGTGCGGACGGCTAGGCTGTTTTTGATCCACCCTTAATTTTTCCCGATTTTTTTGCAATTCCTCGTCAGACTGCTCTTCATGGCTGATCGACCGGGGTCTTTAGAGTCGGTCGGTCGAGTCTCCAACGGGCGGCACCCGCGTTTGATGTCGTGTGACGAATGTCCGCGTTGGACGCGCTCGCCTTCCTCCTCCTCCTCTTCCTCCTGCCCTCCCGCCCCGCTTCCCCGTGCTTCTATGCTCCTCTTTCTTTCGTACCCGCGTTTCGTTCTCGCCTTCTCCCTTCCGTCTGTCCATTCTGCGATCCTTCCGTCGCGGTTCATCCCGCTTTCTCGTACAAGAGAGGAGAATCCCGTATGACGGACTCGGTCGAGTCTCCCTTCAGGAGCGCCAACAGAAAATTGGAAACATCCGATAGGGCCCCGCTACCGCCGCCGCGGCCACGATAAAAAGGTACGTGCCGCCGCTCCGCGCGTCGGAAACCGGCCCGCAAAATATGCCGATCCGTCGTGGATCCACGCGGAACAGTCACGCGCTCGGGCTCTATGCGCTTCGCGGAGACCCGTAGAATTTTCGCAATCTTGTATCATCTACGCCCGACGTTTCCCTTTAACTCACATTTCGCTTTTGTCGACTTTAGAAATTTAATTATTTCCTCGATTAAATTCTCACCTCTTAAAATCCTTATTACATGGAGTTTAGAAATGAAAACACGTTTTTGTGGCAATAACGAGGAAAGATGAATATCTGTGTTACGCGTGATCTGGACCTGAACGCGACGAGTATACTTGTTAGTAAGTAGTCTTGTATACAAGTAGTAATTAATGATAATCAGTGCAGACAAAATTTTTTCGATCAGTTTAACGATGGCGAATGCGATGTTACGCTGTTAATGCATTTTCATCGATTTACCTGCCACTTCCACGATTCCTTTGCATTTGTCCTTTTGCTGGAAAACGGACACGAGTTTATCCTTTTTTTTTTCCTCTTCGCTCCTTTCCATCTGCTACAGTCTACCGACAAACGAGGATCCCGTTTACACGGGAGGTTGCAAGACCGTCCCGAGCTCTCTCCGATGAACGACAGTAAATGTGCCCTCTCGTGCAGGTAATGGCGACAATTATCCGCGTCGGTGAACTCGGCATTAAAATCGAATCATAACAACCAGGCCTGACCGGCCGAAAAGTTACCTTTCTGATTCAGAGTGTGCTCTTCGGTCTTCAAGATCCATAAATCCTTATTGAGCCTTCCTGTATAAACCGCAAGTAATCCCACGTAATAGCACTAGACGCGCGCGTTCGGTTACTATGATTTTTTTTTACAATTATTCTCGTTACCGTTATATTTTTGAGGAAATAAGTATTTTGAAATAAATCAAGAAGAATAAGAAGAAAAAGTCGGATGATTAATAAGAAATCACACGTGACGTTGACGAATACCAGAGTTTTCGACGCAACAAGACTCTAAGGAATTTACGTCGTTTTATATAAAAATTAATGCAAACATGTCTCCATGCAGAAGAATGCTTAAGTACGTAAAATGATCGAGGTGAGAAACAAGCGTCGTTAAAAATTTTAATAGCGTGCTATTGACATTTGACCTTTCCGCGCGGCATGTTTGTATTATATACCGCGTTAATAACAAGTGGCGGATCTAATGGGCTTTTAATTATTCGCCTTGGATTCGTAAAAATTCTGTAATTTTGTTTTCTTTGCTTCGGCTTATCGGAAGGTTGCGTCATTGCATATACATTTATCGACTTGGAAAAATTTATGAATTTTTTAAAGGCACACACGACACGCGCGCGACGATGAGGAAAAAAAGACTTGGCGTTTGGCGACCGAGATCGAAATGATCGCACGTAGTCGGTTACAATGACATCGGCAAGGAC